AGAAGTTCTTCCTAATATTTAGGATGAATCTCTTTTCCTGGAACTTGCATCCATTGCTCCATTGTGTCCTGTTCTCTGAAGCAGCAGAAAACAAGCTTGCTCCCTCCTCAATATGAGGACATCCCTTCAAATGCTTAAATAAGGCCATCATATCACTTCTTAACCATTTCTTCTCCAGGCTAAACACACCCAGCTCCTTAAGTCTCTCCAAAGATGGAGAGCCCACCATCTGCCAAGGGAGTCTGTCCTGCTTTTTGAAAGCCTTTAAAGTCAAAACGTTCCTCCTAATGTTTAGGTGGAACCTCTTTTCTTCCAGCTTGAACCCATCCAGGTCCAGGTCCAGGTCCAGGTCCTACCCTCTGGAGCAGCAGAGAACAAGCTCCCTCCATCTTCTGTCCTTTTGGATATGGCTGCCTTAAATCTCATGCTGAGAGGAAGGTGGGAAATTGATTGATTGATTGATTGATTGATTGATTGATTGATTGATTGATTGAAGGTGGCTATCATGTCAGCTCTCATCCTTCTCTTTTCTAAGTTAAACACTCCCAGCTCCCCAAATCAGTTTTCATAGAGCTTGGCTTCCAGACCATTTGACATCTTGGTCATCTTGTCCATCATCCCCTGGACACGTTCCTGCTTACCGATCTCCTTGAACTGGGAGGCTGAGAAGGCAGGAGGGGATTTGAGGGCAACTCAGCCAGAGCTGCTGACCATGCCCCCTGTCCCCATTTAAGAAATGCTTGGAAACATTGCTTTCTTTGCCAGTTCCCCAGACAGAATGGTCTCAAGGCAGCTGGTGGAGATGGGTGCAGATGTAAATCCTCCCTAAAAGTAGATTTCCTACGTTCTGCATCTAGGTGACATGGGGGCTGGGCTCACCCCTTCCCCTCCAATTTTATTCCATCCTCGATAGCTTCCTTTCTGCCAGGGACACTTGACTCCTGTTCCTCACCACCGAACAAATGCCCCTCTCCACCAAGCTCTACTCAAACCCAAGAAGCATTTTGTGATTCCACCTGCTCAGCCTCCTCTGCAAAAATTCGGCTTATCTGGATGCCCAGGAAGTGTGTTCTGCTTATCACAACCGGTCTGGCATGATGGCAACCTTCCATTCTGACCAAGCAAGTCATTGCTGAGTTCATCTTGGTTTCTCTCAGTACTTAATGAACTTTTTACCTAGATCCTTACAGCCGGGGAAATCTTTGGTTAACAAAATGCAAACTGACCAAAGGCCTCAGCCTCAGCTTAATATCTTTGAAGGTCTTGATGCCAGGTCAGCAAGCTGAGCCATGACCCAGGCCATTCCTCCTTTGGGTCTCCTAGGTGCCCAGAAGAAGGGGTAACAGGTCACTTCTCTCTGCCATTTTGTCCAATATCCTGCTCTTTGGGAGAGGTTGGGGTTGGAATGGGGCAATGGGGCAACCACTGCATTGGTGGCCGATTTGGGGTGGATTTGGATTATTTGGAGATGTAACATTGCCCCAAAATTGCATGAATTTAGGCTTTGGGGGATTTCAGGGCCACGTTTTGGGGTCCCAAGGGCCACTTGCAGCCCATATAGGCCATACTGGTGACGCAGTGGATAAATAATTGTACTGCAGCCACTCACTCACAAACCACAAGGTTGTGGGTTCGATCCCAGCCAGGGGCTCAGACTTGACTCAGGCTTGCATCCTTCATCGGTCGCTAAAATGAGTCCTCAGCTTGTTGGGGGCAATTGGCTGACACACGGTAAACCAGGGGTAGGCAACCTTTCCCCTTTAAGGGCCAAGGGACTTCAGCTCCCAGAAGCCTCAGCCATGTTGGTCAATAGTCCCATGTTGGCCAATAGCTCCTGGGATTCTGGGAGCTGAAGTCCCTTGGCCCTTAAAGGGGAAAGGTTGCCTACCTCTGTGGTAAACCCTTAGGGAGTGCTTAAGTGCACTGATAAGCGGTATAGAAATGTACTTGCTATTACTATTGCTACACTCCATACTCCACACCAGTTTAACAGATTTGTGTTGGCAGCAGGTGGGTGCATGAGGAGTGTTTCCCCCTCAGCCAAGGGGAAGAAGAGCTGAAACAAGGAGGGAGTTGATGTTTGTGAGTTCCTGCATGGCAGAATGGGGTTGGACTGGATGGCCTTTGAGGTCTCTTCCAACTCTATGATTCTATAATGTGGAACAAACAGGGACGGCGGCCTGCTTGCCCTCCCGCTGGCCGACCAAAGAGAGACCAGCTTACCTCAGTGATTAAGAGGAGACCCATCAGGTAGAAGGCAAAGCAGAGGACGCCCAGGAAGAGGGTCTTCCGCCTCCACTCCCGCAGGGAAGGGAACTCGTCCATCACCGCCGTGGTGATGCCTTCCATGTTGCCAAACTGGGGGGACAAGCCAGGTGTTAGAGGTATGGGGAGGGAAGGGGGCGGCAGACAGAGAGCAGCCTCCCCAACTCAGATACACACATGCACCTATTATTCAATACTTTAACAAACAAACAGCCATATTGAAATGGAGAGCCAGCATGGCATAGTGGTTTGAGTGATGGACTGCAACTGGACTGAGACCAGGGTTCGATTCCCAGTTTGGTCATGAAACCCACTGGGTGACCTTGGGCAAGTCCCACTCTCTCAGCCTCGGAGGATAACAATGGCAAAAAACCCTCTGAAAAAAACTAGCCAAGAAAACTCCGTGATAACAGCCTTAGGGTTGTCATAATTCAGAAACAACTTGAAGGCACATCATAACAACAACAAAAATAGTGACACTTGTGGAACATTGCTTACTCAACCATAAATTGACCGCAACTGTTGCACAACAGCCCAAAAACACAACTGCCGGTGGAAGGGTATATAAGTATACAAGTCATATAAGCATTTGGCATAGAAGTCATATCGGGGTGGTTTTTATGGAGCAGATGAGTTTTAGCTCTATGTTTAACTTCTGTATATTTTTGATGTGATTTTTTATTGTGGGTAGATTTTAATTGTTTCTGGATTTCACTGAGATTTTAAATGCTTTTCTCTGTAAGCCGCCTTGCATCCCTACAGGGAGAAAGGTGGCATACAAATAAAATCAGCCCTGGTGGCGCAGTGGTTAAATGCCTGTACTGCAGCCACTCACTCATAGACCACAAGGTTGCGAGTTCAATACCAGCCAGGGCTGAGGCTCGACTCAGGCCTGCATCCTTCCGAGGTCGCTAAAATGAGTACCCAGATTGTTGGGGGGGCAATCAGCTCATAGTTGTAAACCGCTTAGACATCCCATGCGCGATATGAAGCGGTATATAAATGAAGAAAAATAAATAAATAAATAAATAAATAAATAAATAAATAAATAAATAAGGGAACTGAGGCAGGGGGGAGGAGACTGAATGACCAAGAAGGCCTCCTTCCATGTCCCAATTGAGTGCCTTGACCTCCTGGGTGGGACACAGAGGACCCCCCCTCATGCCAGCAAAGCCTAATCCTCAGGCAGGCATAAATGTAGGAAGAGACATCCCATAGCGCGATATGAAGCGATATATAAATGAAGCTGCTTTGCTTTGCTCAGGTATCGAGGTCTCAACCCATTTAGGGCTTTACATGCCATCCCAATCACCTTGGACTCAGACATATTGGCAGCCGGTGCAGTTCTTTTAAGACTGGCATTACATGCTGTCTATACGATATCAACAGTTGAGCAGCCACATTTTGTACTTGTTGCAACTTCTGAGTCTTCTTCAAGGGCAGTCCCACATAGAGTGCATTACAGTAGTCTAATCGGGAGGTTACCAGTGCATGGACTACTGTGGCTGGGTTATCTCTGTCCAGGAAAAGCCACAGCTGTTGCACTGCACTA